ATGGTAATTTAAAAAACATAAAATATAAAGAGGCTACAGTTCATCCATCTAGAATCCAACTCTGATCAGTACTGCACATAAACCCGTTTTGTGCAGGGGTAACAAACTTACAGTGTGTTCTAAAAACCTACAGCTGCGCCATGTTTAGGAAAATCTTGGCCCAAAAACCTTTGGGCTGCTCAGAGAGTACCAGCCACAGCTTTATCTTTAACTGTAAAGTTGACTGTGATTAATGGGATTAAAATGCAATGTAAACAAATAAGGGGTTACCATATATATTAGAAAACAGTCCAATACTGTAACATATATCCCCACAAACCTAGCTTTCTGTACACTTATGCATCTCCTGTTATCATGTGAAGCAGTTTGTTTGGGAATTTTGAATACTTTATTGAATGCATGAATTGAAGTTCAGGTTCAGTGGCTGTGGCCACTGTTCTTTATGGAAACAGCCATTTAATCCTTTAGGTAGTGGCAGTAAGTGATACACACTTAAATTCTATGTGCAATACTGAACGCTAAATACATTGCATTCCAGTTCTCATTTCAACCAATAAAACCTGTTTTTTTTTTTTTTTTTTTTTTTGATTGTCCTTAAAAATAACTAATTTAATTTCAAAGAAACAAAATTTTCACAATAAGGTTCCTTCACCAGGTTTAAAATACAAGGCAAGAAATGACAAATTATTACCCTTGGACTGATAAACCGATGGGAAAAAAAGTATCTTTTTTACAATCCATTGTTGGACAGGTGATGTAATCTGCTCTGGTGCTAAATTTAAGTGCTAACTACAATGTACGGAAGAGAATCAGGGTCACTGAAGAAATAAAAAAAAGTTAACTGATTTTTAAATATTATTTGAGTTTAATATGGGAAAAAAGTCTGAATTCTGACTTTAATCTTAGAGCTCTGACTTTTTTTCAGAATTCTGACTTTTTTTTCTCAGAATTCTGAATATAATCTCAGAATTATCTATCTTAATGTATATGGGAACCATGAAGGAAGAGATGTGGGAGCACTCAGCTTCACTGAAAAAGATGTGAGTTGTTTGGGAGGGCCAGTAACACATTGGTGGAAAATGACAGAATTAGGCGACTTGTTATGTTCCCGAGGGGTCCCGGGTGATGCTATTTCATTAATGGAAGAGCAGAAGGTGATTAAAACAAGAGAGCTAGTTTAGTCTCTAAAACAATCATGGCTACTGCTTGATGCTAACATGTTTGTTAGCTGTCAGAATTCAGTCAGAATTCTGAGAAAAAAAGTCAGAATTCAGTATTTTTTCACATACTGAAATAAAATGTAAAAATCGGTTAACTTCTTTTTTATTTTTTCACTGGCCCTAATCCTCTTCCATAACAATGCGATTCTTTTTTTCTGTTTTATTATTTTTTTATTTTTTTTATTTTACCTGAGATGGTAGCATGTAGCTATGCTTCCATTGTTTTGATGACATTAAGTTAACTTTTCTTTTTCCATAATGTGCATTAGTGGAAAAAATGCCTTGACTGAATTTTTAAAGGCCTAAAAACTGAGGCAGAGACTAACACCGGGAAAAAAAACGGTCTCCATGACCAGTCTCCAGCCCACCATCCATTTAATTAAGTTCATCTGCCTAAAAGGGGAGATGAATAAAGATTTATCCTATTTTTTATTATTTTTTGCAAGGATACATTTTTTTTGTTCATTTTCCAGAATACGAAAAATCTTTTATACCAATTAGTATTTTACACATACTAGGAATTTGCCTTGGGGATAAAATCACACACATATACAAACATACAGCTGACATTCAAAAATATGAAAAAATATAATATGAAATACAAAAATACAAGTTGTTTAGGAATAATAACAGAACCGAAGAAAATAGTGATTTTTTTTTTTTTTGCAAAGAAAGAAAAATTTTGCAAATACAAAAATATGTTCCAACAATTATATGAAATAAAATTAAACATGTGCCGATATATTTGTTTTCTTCTTAAGTATAAAATTTAATTTGTTAATGAGGCTTTCTTGTCTTAAAACAGGTGCAAATGTGTTTGAACATGCAGGGCAGATCTTCAAAGAATTTGTAAAATAAAATTTGCATTTACAATTTGGGACACAGTATATGCAAACAATTCATCAATATATAGATCATAATCTAATGACCAAGCCATGCAAATTCATGAGTGGGATCAAGCGAATGTAATAAATTTTCACTTGCAAAACGTTTTTCTTTTTCATATCGGAAGTTCAATTTCTGACAGTTTTTGTGTAGTTTTTGCAGCTCTTTGCAAATGGGATTTTTTTTCTCTCTTAAATAAATCAGTCTTGCACGAAGCATGATTATGGTTTATTTTCCATACTTCCACATGCACTATAAACATCATTTAGTATTATAATTATTATCTTTTAATAATGATTATTAAAACCTCCATATCCATGGCATTGAACTTCCTCTTTCCTTTAAGACCATTCGTTGTTTTGGTTTTTTTTTATAAAAAAAAAAGAAGGCCATTCGTAAACTGCCTGTAGAACACACAATATGCTGATTTCAATAGGTGGAACCAAAACTGTTCGCATTTCTTAACATTTATACAGCCATCATTATAGATCACCCACAACACACCGACTTATTAGACTTGCTAAAAAAAAAAACACATTCATTTTAGCACCTCTTATTTGGAACTTTTGAAGATTAGGCTCTTTTAGTTATGCAAATGGTGAAAACTGGTTGTTATGCGAAAAAGGACCAGGGTGAATAGAGCAACATGAGGTTTGGCTAAAGTTCAAAGTTCGGGCAGGCTCTATGGTATCATGATGGGTGACGGAGCACAGTAAAGATTTTTTCTGTAAAAAAAAAAAAAAAAAAAAACCATGATGGTTGATCCATCTCCTTGCTGCAGTACAGCATTTCCTGATACTAGGTCCTGAAAGGACGAAAGTGATGCTGAAAGCAATTATTGTCATCTTTACTGCATTCACCCTGAATGCACCTTTTGAAATATGAGGACAGATTCCTTTCAGCACCACGGACAGTGCCCTCACCCTATGTGTTTATACAAAACATTGCTGATTTGGAACAAAGGCTAAAGGCTTATCAATCTTAAGGCATTTGCTGGTCAATGCCAGACAATATTCAGGCCTGATTTAAAGACATTAATGGATCAATAAAACTAACAAATAAAACTGGTGTATTTATGCTTCTTTTGTTCCTATTCTAATAATATCTAAATGTTTCTGATATTAACTCCTACAAAGCAGAACTTGTTGTTTATCTGCGTTTAGTATGTTCCACATTATTTTCACCAACTCACCATCAACTCAGATGAATTGAATTTCCAAACATTTCCAAATATTTATTCTCTCTTTTATTTTATTCTTTGTAGAAACTTGAGTTTGACTGAATTTTCAGCTTTCTTAAAAATACAGCAATGATTGTAATCAATTAACAAAACTGTAACTAACTTGAATAAAAAAATCCCATTACAATGCAAATCCAATTGGTAAATAAAGATGAATAAAAAAATAAATGATTTGCCTGATTAGAAATTAAAAACTTTTTATATACCTGACACTTAACCGTCAAGGATTTTTCCTGCGGAGATATTTAAGGCTAGGGACCCCTTAAGGCCAGAACACGCCAAATCCGATTTTGAGCCCGATCCGACAGAAAATTATGTCATTGTGACGTTCAACAGTCATAGAAAGTCAATGGGAATGATTACACCCAATACGATTTTAAACAAGGGTGCTGCATAGGTCTGACTGAGATAGACCAACGGTCTATTTCAGTCGGGTTACGCAGCAATTCAGAGGAAATTTCATGGGTCTGACAGGAAGAGAGACACTGTTACAAAGTAAAACACATCAGCTTTGATGGAAAATACGAAATAAATCTGTTAATTGTGCAGTGAAATAGTCAGTTTTGGAGTCTCACATCCCGTATATAGGAAGTGTTTCATTCAAAAACAATACATGAAAAATAAAAATAATACTTTACCCATGATAGGAGTTGAGGAGACCAGAAAATGGAAAAAGTAGTGATTCTCTCAGAGAGAGCAGGTAAGTGCAGCATATCTCTCTCACCTCTTAATAAAAAAAGATGAAAAACAGAAACTCCGATAAACTTCACAGCTCTCTCTCTGAAGGCTGATTTATATACAGCAACCAGGTCATCTGTTTGTAAGTCGCAGTGAATGCAAATGTGCCCCTGGCGCAGACACTCTGCTGCACCTCTCCAAAATTGTATGTGACCACAGACGGTGCCGCAGACAGGAGGCCTCTACACTATGCATATTTCCTGTTTGGTACCTTACCGGCCTGTTTTGTTTGTATGACTGCCATTGCGGAAAATTCTTGAAGTTGGTCCAGCTAGAAGAGCGAGTTACCCGAGAACGCTGGGACCCTTTTTCCACCTGGATCCCTGCTGATTTTCGCCCCCCACTGCCGCACTAACTTGCCACCTTTTCCTCACCGCCTCGGCCGTATCTAGACCCACAGCTAGTTCGTGATTGCCCCTCTTGCGTTGTGGTGTTTTAACATAGCGCTGACCACGCTTCAATACTGGGCATAAATCAAATATCTGCGACAAGCTCACTACGACACATTGCTGCAGGAGTATAACCAGCCCTTGAAAATGACCTCTCTGCCTCAGTCAGCATAGAAACACGGTGTTTATTGCTTTGTTTACTTTTCTTTAAACATAGTTGTAATTATATTTCTGATGTAGGCATATAAACATTCTCTACCTGTTCTGGTTTGAGATACTGCCCCGAGTCTTTAAGTGGTGCTTTTGCTTTATAGCTGTGCCAGTGTTTTTATATTTATTTATTTATTAATAATAACTTTTCATAACCTGCCCAACTCAAATATGGAAAATATTTTGAATTTGTGACAGATGTGGAAAAAAATGTGCGCAGATCTGCTCACCCTGCCTAGTCGGAGCCTTTCTATTTGCAGTCAGTGTGACATGGATAAAAATCTAATCGGAATTTAAACATATGTATGCAACCGGTGTGTTCATGTCTTAAGTGTGGGAGTGAGCAGAGCCTCTATACCAAGCTCAGCAGGGGGGCATCACATTTCCCAGTGAGTGTCAAACTCCTTTTGGCAGTGTCCTGCTTATGGGGTAGAGAATATGTCCTTGGATGTGTTTCTGTAAGCGTGTTTGATGAGGAATTTGGGACGTGGTGGCCTTGTGGTTAGGGCATAGTGCTTGGAATCCTGAGGTTGTGAGTTCAAGCCCCACTCTCACAGACTGCCACTCTGGCTCCCGGAGCAAGACCCTTAACCCCACACTGCTCCCCGGGTGCCCCACAATGGCAGCCCACTGCTCCCTAAGGGGATGGGGTAAATGCAGAGGTAAATGTCTCTACTGTGAGATCAATAAAGTCCAATAAATAGAGCCTTTTAAAGTTGGCAAAGAGAAACTGAATGGACATTGGTTCATTAATGTTCAAAATTTAAATTATAGTTTGCGGCATGACTGGTAACAGTCCAGCATTTAGAATAGTTTCAATCTGTAAATCTGAAAACATGTTTCTGACTTAAAGAGACAGACAAGTATTGACTACACTGTTTAACACTGAGAGGATTTCTCTGGCAGAAAAAGACTCTTTAGACTCAACTCAGCACAAAAACACTGAGGAACCAGAACTGAACCCAAATCCAGGATGCAGAGGTTCAGTGAAGGTGGTGTTGAAGGTGTGGAGGTGGATCAGAGAGTCAAAAAAGACTCTGTAGAAGGACAGGATTCCAGCAGAACAGTCCACATACACTGCTACCCTATTGGTGACAGAAGGGGAGGAGGAGGGCAATGAAGATGAGGAGGAGATGAATGTTGGTCTGTTATTGTACCAGACAGAGTAACCACCATCAGAGCAGCTCAGACTCCTGGACTGATCATTCCAACCAAACCTACAGTCTCTACTCTCTCCTTTCCTTTTGATTCCTCTGTAGCTCACTGATATTTCCACTCCCCCACTCCACTCAACCTCCCAGTAACAGCGACCAGTCAGAGCCGTTTTACAAAGCAGCTGAGGAACATGAAATCTGTCTGGATGATCGGGATATGACTGAAGCTCCTCCAAGAGTGTCACCTTCCTATTATCTTCAGACAGTTTGAGTTTCCTGCTCATTGTGTTTGTGTCGATTGTGAGCTGACAGGAATCTGATAAGGAGAACAAACACAACCCATCTGCAGTTATTGATAATTGACTGACACTTTGATTATGACTCCTGAAGTGTTGGGACAAACTACTTACACTTTCCCAGACCTGGTTTCAACCATTGGATTCCAGCAGGCTCCATCCTGAAAGGAGAACGGGGTCAGACCATCAGTGTCGTTTAGCGTGCAGACATGGACATTTTATGTTTGAACACATTGCCCCACACGGAGAAAGGAAAAAAATCGTTTAGAGAGAGACCTGTCTCACATAAAGCATGCCATTTAATAGCTGAATCAGTGGACTTTGACTGCAAGTAAAAAAACAAAAACAAATTGTGGGTGTTCCCCAAATTCAATTTAATTCACTTTATTTATATAATGCCAATTCACAACACACCTCATCTCAAGGCACTTTACAGTTAACCAGATCATCCAGTCAAATTTATTCTAAGTTTTCTATCTAAGGAAAACCAGTTGTTTGCACGACTCATTGACTCGAAGGCAATCCTTCACACTAAGTAAAGAAGAATTTTAAATTCTATTCTTGATTTAACAGGAAGCCATTGAAGAGAAGCTAGGATAGCTGAGATATGATCTCTCTTTTTTAATTTTAATTAGAACTCATGCTGCAGCATTTTGTATAAGCTGAAGGCTTTTAACTACTGATTGTGGACTTCCTGATAATAAAGAATTACAATAGTCCAGCCTTGAAGTAACAAATGCATGGACTAGTTTCTCAGCATCATCTGTGGACAGGATATTTCTAATTTTTGCTACAAATAACACCAAGATTTTTTACTTTATTATCTGAAATCAGTTTAATCCCATCCAAATGAAGTGACTGACTAATCAGCTTCTTTTTCAAATACTCTAGTCCAAACACTATAATTTCTGTTTTTTTCTGCATTCAAATGCAGAAAGTTAAGAGTCATTGAGGTTTTTATGTCTTCAAGAAATGCCTGTAATCTATGTAATGGGTTAGCTTTATCTGGATTTATAGTCAGATGAAGCTGAGTATCATCAGCATAACAGTGGAAATTAATCCCATGCTGCCCAATAATTCTACCCATTAGGAGCATATATATAGTAAAGAGAACTGGTCCTAGCACTGATCCCTGTGGTACTCCATAGGTAAAACTTGAGCATAAGGAAGATATGTCATTAATGTGAACAAATCTGAAAAGTGTGGGTGCTGCATCCCCAACATCCCCATCTACGTATTTGGAAAATCTACTGCACCCAGTGATAATTTCTATCTCCAGATCAATTACAGTGTGGTGATGTCTTCCTGTCTTCTTGTGAGAATTATTACTCTTAAAAGATTTTACTCTTAAAGATTTTATCAAAGCAAAAAAGTCTTAATATATATTGGTTCATGATGGCACTAATTGCTGGCTTAATTTCTCATTCCATTCACCTGTCTAACTCTGTTGCTCATCACTGCTCATCTGATCCACCTGCTCCTGCTTCTGTTAAAACTGCTCAGTCCCAGTCACCAGGGCCAGATTATTGCTCTCTGTAGTTCTCGTTTTTGCTGTACAGTGGTGAGAGGGTTTTTTTTATTGTACCATAGTGTTTCAGATTTCACAGTCCTGACCTGTTATGACTCTTATCCACTGAGCCTGCCGGTTTCCATCTGATCTCAGTGGAGAGAATTGTTTTTTAGTGTACCATAGTTATTCCGATTTCCTAATCCTGACTCATTCTGCCCCTCAACCACTGAGCGTGTCTGTTCCTGTCTGAACGGGTTGCCTTAACTGTCTTTGGACTCCTGGACCTCTGAACCAGCCTGTTTCTGTTCTGATCTAGCTTTGGACTGCTGGGCCTCTGAGCCTTCCTGTTCTGATCTGTTTCCCTGACTTAGTTTCGGACCCCTGCATTTTCTCTGGGGCTGCAACATCTGGGACAGTCTGGACAGCACACGCCACATTTTGTTGATGGTCCACCAGCTGGATCCTACCTCGTCCTCTGGGGATGTGTGGTAATCTGGCCTCTTTTTTTCCATTTGAAGTTAATTTCATGTCTCTTTTTTCTGATTTGGATTTGCTCGTTATATTTTGAAGTTATTTACTTTTCTTGTTAGATTTAGCTTGGGTTGCTGTGTTACATGTTTTTCTGATTTTGTGCAGTTGAAGGGATTCGAAGCTGGATCGAGCACTGGTAAAGGAGCGGCGGATGGAAGAATTAAAGGACTAGTTGCCACGGAGAGTCCTCCAACTGTTCGCCGTCGAGGAACGGATGGGTGTTGGAGTGCGAGTGGCTGGATCACTGCTGTGATTCACCCGTGGCCGTGGAGGATCGGCCGCCTGGCGTCAGAAAGGACTGCGCGCTGGAGGGGACCAAGCGCCAGAGAGGAATGCGCCCCCCTTGGGCCAGCTAAGAGTTCATCCTTTTTAAACAGACTCATCCATTGACTGTGCTGATCCTTACTGCCCTGCATTTTCTCTTTTTTTAGTTAATTTATTCTTTTAAATAAATCATTGTTAACTTTTACCAGCTCGTTCTTTTAGACCTCTGCTCACATTCACCGCAGTTTGTTTTTTCATAAATATACCTCTCAGGTGCCACAGATGGACTGAACTGTTAAACCAGGTTAGTGACTCTCATGGATAATTATCCTCCGTGAGATTATCAGGATAACTAACCCGTGTTTCTCTCCACCAGAGCTTCAGTGATAGACACCCTAGCTGCTGATACTGCGGATCCACCACTCGTCAATCTTGTTTCAGTAACACTTTGTATTATCCCACTGTCTGATTTGCCTTGAATACTGGGTCCTTCTGTCCTGTATCATGACATATTGTGGCCTTTAATAACCCCCTGAAAAAAATAATCAAAGTATCCCTTCTGAAAAGGCATCCTCTTAGAATTTTACTAATTGCTGAGAGAGTTCTCCTTACTCTTTCATTTCTAAACTAGATGAATAGAAAACAGATTCACAGTTGGTACATTACCTGCTATTGATTGGGCTGTCCTACAAGCAAGCTATTATAATATAACTGGTTAATGAGAATGTAAACAAGTTGAATATATTTATTTTAATTCAGACATACCAGATGTGTGCAGCATATGAGGTAAACAAGGGCATCCTACTTTAACGCCTTTGGACTGAGACTTTAGGGAGGAATTCAGAACATCTGTGTAGGAGATTCTGCCCACGAGACTGGATTGTGATCCTAGGGTTCTCTTATGAACCTTACAAGATAGTAGGAGATCGAATCGAGAGAGTTCATAAATATGTGTTGTTCATAAGCCAAAAGCAAAATTGCCTTAAACAAGAAATCTAGGAGTAAACTCTTTATCTTTCTGCTTTTTAAGGAGCTTATGTCTTGATTGACCATGGATGAAATGACATGTTGCTCAAAAATAGGATGTATTCCAGAAATTATGGAGTCATTTCTTTACATACTAAATAGATGATTTGCCACTCAAGATTATTGGGTTCTGAAGAAATGTAGGTATACCCTTTAGTAGCTTGGCATAATAATGCTGGGCATCGTGTCGTTTAAGTGTGTCAGGAGTTCCTGCATAATGAAGAAACTTCTGCTATGGACTGGCCTGTCCATTTCCCAGACCTGAATCTGATTAACCTGGGTCATCATGTCTCACTCCATACCTCAATTCCATGTTGCACCACAGAATTGATTTACTTTATATTGATAATTTTATCAATATAAATACCATTTACAGTTAGTCAAAACTATGACTAACTGTATGTGCTCTCTTCATCCTCTGACATGGGAGCTGGCTAAGAGCTCATCTGCCTGGCTGAGTGTTTCCTGGACGGTGGTCGTCTGTGGAGCTGGTTGAGATTTACCTTTTGTATCTATACTTTTTCTATGTCTGATTCTATTTCCTTGAACCCCAGTCAGCCTCGGCAGATGGCAGCTCACACATAAGTTTGCTTCTGCTGGAGGTTTCTTCCTGTTAAAATGGTATTTTTCCTCTCCACTGTCACTACAAGCATGGTTGGTGTGAGGGATCGCCTTTGAGTCAATGAATCGATGCAATCAGCTGGTTTTTCTTAGAACTCTATGAACCAATCTGAGTGTATGATCTGATTGAATTGTCTCTGTAAAGTGCTTTGAGTTGGTGTCTTGGGAATTAACTCTATATAAATAAACTGAATTGAATAGTATAATTTTGTCAATGCATTTCACCACATAATGGATAAATATTTCTGATTGTAGAACGTGCAGGTGGGGCAATGGTTAGTGCGCACGACCCATGTATGGAGGCCTTAGTCCTCGACGTGGCCGACCCAGGTTCAAATCCGGCCTGTGGTCCTTTGCTGCGTGTCTCTTCCCCTCTCTCATACCCCCTTTCCTGTCAGCCTACTGTCAGAAAAAAACGAACCACTAGTGCTGTAAAAGCTGAAGAAAATATATATATATATATATATTCCTGACTGTTTTTGTAAAACTGAATTAAGAGTCAAAGAAGACACATCTCATTGTTCCTCCTCTATCAGATTGTTTCTACACCTGCAGTAGGTTCCTCCATACCTGAGATCTTCCAGTCTCCAGTTTGGATCCTTTAGTCCAGCCGACAGCACCTTCACTCCTAAATCTCCTGGATGATTGTAGCTCAAGTCCAGCTGTTTCAGGTGGGAGGGGTTGCAGCTCAGAGCTGAAGCCAGAAAAGCACACCCTTCCTCTGAAACCAGACAGCCTGACAAGCTGCAGAAACACAATTCAGCACACATGATAAGAAGATGACAACCTTGAAGTAGAACCCAAGTTATGAATAGAATAATTAAGTAGGGAAACATACATTTTATACGCCTACTTATCTGATTAATAAAATATTATATATATTTTATTGGATCAATCTGATCTAGATATCCGGTTGGATGGAAATCCTGGGAACTGAAAAAAACTAAAACTAAAATACCAAAGACAAACTGCTGGTCACAGTAGAACCAATGTAGTTTAACCTTTTCACCTTTTTACTATCTTATTACAATTTCTTTGATCAATAAATGAAACCCACAGTAAGAATACAGCAGGGGTTGGTATTTAAAGGAAATATCAGTCAGAAAAATCTATTGAAACAATATTTGCATAATCTTTAAAGGCAGTTAAAGGATAGAGATCTGATATGAAAAGGACTGAGAAAATTTTACCTCAGAGTTTCCAGTTTGCAGTTTGGACTCTGCAGCCCAGCAGATAGAAGCTTCACTCCTGAATCCTGCAGGTTGTTATTACTCAGGTCAAGCTCTCTGAGACTGGATGACTGGGAGCTAAGAACTGAGGACAGAGCTTCACAGCTTGTCTCTGAAAGGTTACAGCCACTCAGTCTAGGGAGATGAGGAAGAATATCTAATATTAAACATTTAACCAAAATTAATGATTAAAAACTATGTCAAATGAGGACTGGGCTTCCTTTTTTAAAACTGGATCATTGTGAATAAAGTGACACCATGTGCCCCTATTTTTAGTGTTGTCGCTTTTCAGTTTTTTCCCTTTTCTTGTTGGGCCTTTGGTGGTTCCCTTGGATTTCTTTTTTAACCTTCATTTTTTTTCTTAAATTTTCTTTTCTTGTTTTTTGGCCTTTAGGTTCTAAGGGGAGTTTTTTTTTCTTGTTCGGCCCTTTTATTTCGTTAAAGGGTAGGTTTTGGGTTTAAAAAAAAATATGCATGCCCATGAGAAGGCCAGTGGCTGGAATTTGGAGATGATTTTGCTGCCATTCGACTGGGTTTTGACTGGGAAGGGCCATTTTGAATGGCTGCTACATTATCTCTAACAGATTTCTGAGTATCAAAGCAGTAACGTTCTGAGTCCTTACAGTGCTCTGTTGGAGGCTTTAATCACTGGCATCATCCTTAGAAGAGCTTCCTCTGAAGCAGAATATTTCTTCAGGTCAAACATATCCAGACCTTCTCCTGATGAAACCAAGATAAAGATCAGAGCTGACCACTGAGCAGGAGACATTTTATCTGCAGAGAGACGTCCTGAACTTAAGGACTGTTGGATCTCCCTCACTAGAGACCGATCATTTAGTTCATTTAGACAGTGGAACAGATTAATGCTTTTCTCTGCAGACACATTCTCACTGATCTTCTCCTTGATGTATTTAACAGTTTCCCGATTTGACTTGGAGCTACTTCCTGTCTCTGTTAGCAGACCTTTTAGGAGTTTCTGATTGGTCTGCCGTGAAAGTCCTAGGAGGAAGCGGAGGAACAAGTCCAGATGTCCATTCGGACTAAGAAGGGCCTGGTCAATAACTCTCTGGTGGAGAACATTTTCATCTGATTTGTTGAAAAATCGATTGATGATAGCAGGTATCTGTTGCTTCTTTTCCATTAGGTTGATGCCATAGTTGATGAAGGTCCTGTGAACATGAAGAGCAGCCAGAAACTCTTGAACACTCAAGTGGACAAAGCAGAACACCTTGTCCAGGTACAGCCCTCTCTCCTCTCTAAAGATCTGTGTGAACACTCCAGAGTAAACTGAGGCAGCTTTTATATCTATACCACACTCAGTTAAGTCGGATTCATAGAAGATCAGGTTTCCTTTCTGCAGCTGATCAAATGCAAGTTCCCCCAGAGATTCAATCATTTTCCTGTTTTTTGGACTCCAGTGTGGGTCAGTTTCAGCACCTCCATCATACTTGACCTTTTTCACTTTGGTTTGAATCACCAGGAAGTGGATGTACATCTCAGTCAGGGTGTTGGGCAGCTCTTTTCCCTCTTTAGTCTCAACAACATCATCAAGAACTGTAGCAGTAATCCAGCAGAAGACAGGAATGTGACACATGATGTGAAGGCTTCGTGATTTCTTCATGTGGGAGATGATCCTTCTGGCCTGCTCCTCATCTCTGAACCTCTTCCTAAAGTACTCCTCCTTCTGTGGGTCAGTGAATCCTCTGACCTCTGTCACCATGCCAACACACTCAGGGGGGATCTGATTGGCTGCTGCGGGTCGGGTAGTTATCCAGACGAGAGCAGAAGGATAGAGTATCCCTTTAATGAGGTTTGTCAGCAGAACATCCACTGATGTGGTCTCCGTAACATCAGTCAGGATCTCCTTCTTGTGGAAGTCGAGATTAAGTCGACTCTCATCCAGACCATCAAAGATGAACAGAACTTGCAGGTTTTCAAAGCTGTAGATTTCTCTGGTTTCAGTGAAGAAGTGATGTACAAGTTCAATCAAGTTGAACTTTTTACTTTTTAGCACATTTAGCTCTCTGAACGTGAATGGAAATATGAGCTGGATATTCTGGTGAGCTTTATTTTCAGCCCAATCCATGGTGAACTTCTGTGTTAAAATCGTCTTCCCAATGCCAGCCACTCCCTTTGTCATCACTGTTCTGATTGGTTGATCTCTTCCAGGTTGGACTTTAAAGATGTCTTCTTGTCTGATTGTTGTTTCTGCTCTGTGCGGTTTCCTGGATGCTGTTTCAATCTGTCTGACCTCATGCTCGTCATTGACCTCCCCAGTCTCTCCCTCTGTGATGTAGAGCTCAGTGTAAATCTGGTTCAGGAGAGTCGGGCTTCCTGCTTTAGCAATTCCCTCAAAGATACACTGGAACTTCCTCTTCAGACCAGATTTAAGTTCATGTTGACAGACCCCTTCAAGATGTTCTAAATGAATACAAAAATAAAAAATGAAAAAGAAACAAAATATCATGAAGATTTTTTTTAATAATTGTGATTCTATCTTTTTAGACATTGGTAAATATGTTACTTATCCATCAGTGTAAGTCTTTCTACAAATGTTCTTACTGCACCACAGACGGTCAGCCAGCTCCTCCTGCTTCATCCCCCTCAGAAAGTTCACAGTGATCTTCGTCAATGATTCTCTGCTACTCTTCCTCTGCTCTTCATTCTGATCTTGCAACAAATCCTCATTATCTGTCTGATTCTCCAAGCGTCCTGGGTTGTCTGGACTGAGAACCTTCTGGATCTTCTTGAGCTCATTTTTTACAAAATCTACAATGTTGTCCTCCAGCAGCTGGAATAATATGATACATGAAGGAAATATCAGATGGAGACCATGGAGCCAAACTACAGTGCAGAATGGAGATTATTGCCAACAGACTGAATTGTTGTACTGTAGATGTGCAGACCTTAAATATGGAGTCCAGGTGGGCTTGGTGCTGCTTGGTAGATGGACCACTGGGAACCTCTAAGTTCTGTTGGTCAACTCTGTGGAGGAACCAGGAACAAATAGGATGAAACACAATATTAATCCTATATTTTTCACATAGATACGTTCTAATAATGAGCATGCAGCTGCAACTAGCTCTGGCTGTAAGCCTGCAATTTCTGCAATGGTGGAAACCCCAGAACCCAGTGGTTGACGCCGGGCAGTGACAGATGTTGTCAAGTTGTAGTAGGACTCCTATTGAGCCTGACTGTTCTTTGGGGCTACCAAGGCAGCACAAAGGTGCCATGAGAGCAAATGTGCTGCTTCCCGGGAGGTGGCAGAGGCAAAAACTGAGGCCTGGGAGAGGTTCTAAGAGAACACAGAGACTATTGTTCAGGCTAAAAATGTTTCTAGCATAGTGTCTGGTACCTCCAGATGGGGAAGTAGCACTTTGCTAACCCTGCTAACAATGGATCAGGGAGTTGCTGACCTTAACAGGCAAAATTGTACATTGTTCATCACCCAGGTTGAATTTATTGAGCTGGCCATAAACTTCTTGATTGGATGATGCCACCTATAGTATCTCATGTCTCTGGATTGAGACATGAGGTACTACATAGATCTGTTTGAGCTGCTGGTGTTTAACATGACTCTTAAACATCCCATGGTGGTCAGAGACAGTGCTTGAATGGCAGGCCATGATGGTGGTTCCCTTTCCCAAAAAGGAGACTATGGGGTGTGATACAACTGTAGGAGGATCAAACTTTTAAGCCTCTCAGGAAAGGTGGTGGAGAGTCAGGCTGATTGTTGATCAGCAGCAGTTGGAGGAGCAGCTACACCCTCTACAGGATGCTCGAAGGGTCATTGGATTTTTTTACGATCTGGTCTATATGTGCTTTGTGGACCTTTAGAAAACATTCAACCGTGTCTCTTTTGGTGCCCTGTGGGGGGTGCTCCATGAGTATGGATTATTTTCGTTTACTAGGGGCCACTTGTGTAATCTGTACAAGTGGAGCAAAAGTGTGGTCCACATTGCCAGGATTAAGTTGCATCTATTTCAAGCATGTTTTGGACTCCCTCTCCCACTGGTCCTGTTAGTAAGGCTTATAAACATGGTTTCTGGGCAAAGCCATGGGTTAAACTAGAAGATTTTGTATCCTCTTTTTGGGGATGACTTAGCTCTGCTTGTTCACTCCTGCCAAGACCTACAGCATGCATTGGAGCAATTTGCAGCCATGTGCAAAGCTTTTCTGGATGAAGATCAGCCCCTCAAAGTCCAAGGCCATGCTTCTAGACCACAAAAAGTTTCCTTGCCTTCTACAGGTTGAATGAGTGCTCCTGTCTTAAGTGGAGGAGCTCACATATTTTGGGTTCCTGTCTATAGGTGAAGAGGGAATAGAGCAGGAGAACAACAGGTGGATTAGTGCATAATGTATATGCTGTGTCATGGCCAAATGAACAAGATCCCAGATACAAGCGGCTGAAACTAGTTTCCTTCGTTGGCTGACCAGGTACTTCTTTAGTGATAGGTTGAGGAGCCTGGCCATCAAAGAGACACTCAACGTAGAGCCCCTTCTTTCTACATTAAGAGAGGCCAGCAGAGTACAGGTAAAACCACATTGAAAGACTTTGTTTTAAATGCAAATATTTCTATTATAAGTCTGATTAGCTTCTGTGGTTTTGGGCTGCTATCTGTGTTAAAGTATAAGTGTTATTTGGCTTTTTTTTTTTCTCCCATTCTCTCCAAAGTCAGGTAGACAGATTGAATCTTTTTCATCTCCTCTGCACCTTTTTTGCTCCGTATGCTTGGGACAGATATGGTTGCCCTTCAGAGTGGGAGAAACAGGAATAACCTTATGAGTTTTTTTCCATTGTAAATAAAACAGTGTAACAAAGCCCAATTTTCCATGCAGTAATTCACTGCTGAAGCAAAACTAAACTTTGATCAAAAGAAAAACAACAAAACTGATAACAGCACGGTCAACATAGTCTTAAGATATTATCACAGTCTGTTGAGAAATGTTTAACGCTTTTACATTCTAACCAAAATTATGTGCTCTGCACCCAAAACTTTTTAAAGTCTGGATAATCAAATAGCTAGAACTGCCCGTGGTAGCTAGATAAAACTCACCTCTCTAAGGATAGAGGTTGAGATGATTTGAAGAGAAGAGGAGGTTCCTTTGACCTGTTGCTCTTCAGGGACAGACAGCTGGGTTCTGGTTTTGTTTTGAGATCAAACCTGACGAAAAAATGTTTGTTGTAATTGCATTAGTTTAAATGTAAAACAATAATCCAAAAATAAAGCGGAAAAAACAAATCTGATGGAGCTTTGCTTCATTATGACCGATGGTAAATTGTAATGCTGTAAGAAACAATAGAACCAGATAGATATTAATGTTAATGCTCCAAATGAATCCAAACAAGACAAAAACAAATGATCTAACCATCCAACATGTTCCTGATCACCAATCCTACTGGTTCAAAAACACAAAGGAACAGGAAGGCTATTAGGATCAATGTTGAGCTCTGGCATGGAGAAGAATGTGTAATGACTCAAAAAAAGAGGACCCAGTATTCAGGCAAGACAGACAGTGGGATTCTTCAAAAAGCTTTTATTTCTAAATTAACGATCTGTGAATCAGCAGTAGCACCAGCTAGGGCGTCTAAGGCTGGAACCTCTGGTTTAACAGTTCAGTCCATGCCCAGAGATCAAGGTAGGATCCAGCTGGTGGGCCGCCAACAAGATTCTGGCGGGTGCCGCCCAAAGTGTCCCAGATGCTGCAGCCCCAGAGAGTTGGCAGCAGGAGTCCCTTAGAGTGGTCCAGCAAACAGATCAGAACAGAAACAGGTAGTCTTAGAGCCCCAGAAGTCTGAAGCAAGGTCATGCAACAGATCAGAACAGGAAGGAGCAAGCTTAGTGGTTGAGAGGTAGAACAGGTAAGGATCAGGAAAGAGAAACAAGGCACTCTAAAAACACTCTGACCACCGGCTAGAGAGAACAAGAATAATCTGGCCCTGATGACTGGATGTAAGCGCCTTAAATAGAGGTAGGAGCAGGTGGATCAGATGAGCAGTGATTAGAAACCGGGCAGAGGTGGACAGGTGAATGGAATGAGTAATTAAGCCAGTCACCAGTACCCAGATCATGACAGTATGAAGTTCTTTAAAAAGCTTCTTTTTATCTACGACCATCCAAGGAGGGCTGATGGAAATTCTTTAAGTCTTGGTGTTCTGTTTGTAACCACTGCTTCTACTAGAAGTGGGAGTGGCTTATCCACACAGTGGTGGTGCTCTGGTGAGCTGTCGCAGCTGATCACAGCAGTTTAGTCAGTCAGTGGTTCCACTGAAAGAGCTATGGTGCATTCTAAAGCGTTACAAAAGTGTCCCAGAAACGTTGGCTGCTGGCCGCTCCTCTAGAATAGGTGACAGGACTATTTCTGAAATCCACATCAATCTAGAACAGAGTGGATCAATCAGACAGGAAGTCATTTGATGAAAAGCAAAGTGGACCTGGTCAGGTTTACAAGTAGAAGACTGCACGTGCCAACTTTCGATTTCCTACTTTTATGAAATTCTAAATTTTAATCAGGCAAGTAATCAACAGCGATAATAAATATAACATTAAATGGTAAGAATAGCTTAAAAAAACTAGATATAATTGAATATAAGGGGATCAGGTATGGGTGAGGCTGGTAGAACAGGTTCAATAAATACTTTTGTTTTTAATTAAAAGCCTACAAGTTCAATACTGTAGTGCAGTGATGCAATCCTGGTATGATCTGTGTCCATCTGTGTAGGATAATCCCGCTCTGAAAACACTTCTTGTGGAACCAAAGCTGAGTCATTATAGAGATTATTCTAGATAGCAGATGATGATGATGATAACATTTCTTTACACATAGACAATCTACCACATGTCATTGACCTTTTCAAAAGACAAATGTTTCATACCAAGATACTGCAAAAAAAGCTCATTTTATCTAAAAAAGATTTGTTATTTAAATGTTATTCAATAGAATTTGTAAACTGATGATAAACCAGTATAAAAACTGAGTACTGTTCTTTACATTTCCATGTTCAGCCTGTTACACCCTTATTAAAAAAATGTTCCCTGAGCAGCAGTGATTGAGGCTGCACCCTCAATCAAGAATTTAACCCGCACTCAACACACACCAATGTCTATCAGCGTCCCTGGAAGTTAGATAAAACTCACCTCTCTGAGGATGAAGGTCCAGATGATTTAAAGAGAAGAGGAGGTTCCTTTGACCTGTCACTTTTAAAGGACACACAGCTAGGTTCTGGCTCTGCCTCTGATTCTGGTTCATCTTTGAGATCAAACCTGATAGAAAAACTCAGATTTAAAATTGAACATTGTCATGGATTTATGCTTGGATTTTATTTGACACTCAGCCATTGAAATTTGTATCTATGTATATGATTTTTGCAATTATATAATTTTTTTCCTAATTGTTAAACAAAAAATCTCATATAAAGTAGGAATAATTCCACAGTACATTGCAGTGGTATAAAGATAATACAAATATCCTCACCCTTCTACTGGGTGCAATAGGAATAAGATTACTCTACAGCTGGTCCTCACTCCCTATGTACTCTGCAGCTAGGGCAGACTGTGACAGACTGCTGCACGCTTAAGGCACCAGGAAGCGTTATCACATATCCTTCCTTCCAGCAGCTAAAAGACTCTATAACCACCACAATTCCCAACAACCTCAATAAGTTGTTACATTCATGTGGATTTTGCACAGTTTCTATCTTAGTCAGTTAAATAATATCCTGCTGTCATTTTGCAC